GGTGATTGTAGCGCACAAACTGCTGATGACGTTGGTGACCGTTTGGATGATGTCTTCCCTCCTAAGAGACCCGTTTACCTCGGCGCGCGAAAAAGCAGACAGTACCAATAAGAAAGAGATGAAAAAAATGAAGGCATTGTAGTCGACAAGTTTATCGCACTTCGAGCCTTGCCCGGGCAGCAAGAAAGAGACAAACCTTACCACATCGAAATGGTTGTCGAGTTGCTGCCTAGAAAACGCTTTAAAGTCGCTTGGTTTGCTCAACAAGAAAAAAAAAATAATTACTACCCTTGCTACAAGAAGAATGCTCAAGGAAGGTCGACGAGGGAGCATTTGGAGGATATATTTGATTAAAGTTGCAGTGTTCTCTTTTACAACTTTGATTTGAAGACGGACAAGACCCCCTTAGTTGTAACGAAAAAGAAAAATTCTGAAATGTTAGAATCAATGAATGTCGATAATGATGAAGGCGATGACATCTTGGGCTCACATACGAACGAGTGTCAGACTGTTAGCGAGGAGAACTACTAAAATGACTGTTTGGTTGATGTGATTACTTTCGTAAATCGTTAGAAATGTCACTCAAAAAGCTATGGAGAGCAGCAAAGATATTTCAGAAGTCGTTTCTCATAGTTTAACTTTAATCGACTTCTACTTAGATAATCAAATTTTGTCAGTAGGATTTAGTCGTATTTTAACTTTAATCGACTTTTACTTAGATAATCAAATTTTGTCTGTAAGACTGTGTAGGAGCATAAACTACTTGGGAAAAAGGTTCTTAAGTTTTCTATGATTTAGGACTATTTACCCAACAAGGTTTTTAAGTTCTATCTGATGTAGTACCCAAATAATATTTAACATTGAAATGTTGGAAAAACACTAATCACAAAGCTTCTTGAAATAAAAAAACACTAGAAAAACGTTATTAAGTTTTGTTTGATTTATGAGTTTTTACCAAAATATTATTAAACATTGAAATGTTGGAAAAACACTGCTCTGAACGCTTGCTGAAATCAATAAGACTGAAAAGAAAGTTCTTAAGTTTTGCCTGATGTAGGACTCTTTAACAAAATATGATTAATATTGAGATATTGGAAAAGCAGTTTTCCCTTGGAGTTTCTTTTGCATTTGAATCGTATTTTTACACATGCTGAAATCTTGAAAACAGGAAAAAGGTTCTTTGGTTTTCTCTGATATAGGACTATGTACCTAAACAATATTTAAGATGAAAATATTGGAAATACACTAAACACACCGCTTGCTGAAATCAATAAGACTAGAAAGAAAGTTCTTAAGTTTCGGTTGATATAGGACTATATACCAAAATATTATTAACATTGAAATGTTGGAAAAATAGTTTCCCCTTTGAGTTTCTTTTGCATTTGAATTGTTTTTTACCACATACTAAAATTTTGAAAACTGCAAAAACGATTCCTAGGTTTTCTCGGATATAGGACTATATAACCACATAATAATTAACATGAAAATGTTGGAAACGCACTTAACACAATGTTTGGTGAAATCAATAAGAATGGAAAAAAAAACTCTAAAGTTTTATCTTATATAGGACTATATCTGTGTTGCACGGTGTACGTGTACGCGTGTTGCGCGTACACTCGTACACATATTCCTGTACGCGACACGTATGCGCGTACACGTACTCCCGTACGTGGGAATACGTAAAAAAAAAAAAAAAAAAAGGCATCGAAAAAATCTGAAAAACAATTATGTTATGGAAAATGATATTTCAAATAACTTTTGCCTTAGACTCATTGCCAAATTCTGTACATAACTCGAGTGAAAAATCAAAGATACAAAACACAAATAAATTAAAATAAAAAAGTTTAAAAATTAGAAAAAAATCAGAAAAAATAAAAACGAACTTCTGTAACAAATACATGTTATGCAGAAACATGATATAAACAACTTTTGCCTGGGAGTCATCGCCGAATTCCCAATCTAACTCGAGTAAGAAATTAAAAACGAAAAAAACAGTAATATGATCATAATAATTAAAAAACTATTTTAAAGTTTTCTTTAAGATTTTGTATTTTTAAATCAAGATTGGTTGGAAATTCGAGTATGACTTCCAGGTAAATGTTGTTTGTATCATTATTCTGCACAACATACTTGTTTTTCAGATTTCTTGGATTTGTTTTTTTTTTTTTAACGTACGAGTACGCGCGATTTGTGGGTTCGTACACGTACGTACGCATTGCGTACGCGTACGGCGTGCTACCCAGGACTATACACCAGAATATTATTTAACATTGAAATTTTAAAAAATCATTTTTCATTTGAAGTTTCATTTGCCTTTGAATCGTTTTTTAATATGTTTTGATTACTCTTTGAAATTACTTTCATTTTCCTTGCAAGATTCTATTAGCTACTTCGAAAGTTGTCTAAACAACCCATGAAACTCGTTTTTTTTTTTTCTCATCTGCCTTTCCCTGTTAAAGGACTAAATGTCATGCTTCTAACGTCCAGGTCTTAGAAACCAATCAAAGAACTTGAAAAAACTTTCTCTATTATCAACTTTTATCTCTTTTGTGTAATGTTGATACTTAAAGTTTTGTGTAAGTCTCGCATTTCTCTTTTGTAGCTTCATGTGCGCATATCTAGCTTGATTTGATGTGTTAGAGTTGAACATGAGAAATCTGTTTGTTTGCTTTCTACACTTTTTGTCTATAATTTGTAGTTTTTTTTGCGACTGTCACCAAGACATCTCCTTTGGGCAGAAAATCTCTCTATTTCCCCACGTCTTCAACATGTCTGTTTTTATGTGTTAGGAAATAAGTGAATATTTTGTACATTTTGGAATGTTACAATTCAGAGTCACTTTCTTTCCTTGAAAATTGCTTCGTTTGCTCAAATTTGTCTTTTGCCTTATTTCGAGCATAATTTAGACTCGTTTCTACATGAACTTTTTACGACATGGACCTGAAATTCAACATTTTGAACGTCTTTTTATTTATGACCACTCCGTCTATACAAATTGTTGGGTTTTGTCCAGCTCTCTGGTTTTCACGAATTGTATGTTCCATGTCGACCATACCCACCGGGTCCCCTGTTAAGTTCGGATGAATTTGAACCACACCCGACTTACATCCCAGACTCGGATCAATCCGAATGGCAAAAACACACCATGTCGACCACCCCTCTCAAGTTTGGATGAATCTGAACCACACCCGTTTTAAATGGCGAAAACACACCATGTTGACCATACCCACCCCTCTCAAGTTCGGATGAATCTGAACCACACCCAGTTTACACCACAGGCTCAGATCAATCTGAATGGTGAAAGCAATGCAAAACACATTATGTCGACCATACCCACCCCTGTCAAGTTCGGATGAATCCGAACGACACCCGTCTTACACCCTAGGCTCGGATCAATCCAACTGGCGAAAACACATCATGTCGACCATACCCATCCCTGTCTAGTTCGTATGAATCTGAATCATACTCGTCTTACACCGCAGACTCGGATCAATCCGAATGGCGAAAACACACGATGTCGAGCGTACCCACCCCTGTCAAGTTCGGTTGAATCCGAACCACACGCATCTGCCAGGCAACAGTTCGCTCACGTCATTGCATCCGACTCTGGTGTCTGTGCCTGTCTTCATGTGTGAAGTGAGGAATGCGTGACAGATGAGATGTTGCACGAGTCCGACCACGGATGCATCCGAACCAAAGAGAACAGGCGCCGACAAACCGGCCGGCGTCATCTAACATTCGATGTGCACTGTTCAATTTGGCATTTGGCAATGCTCTCACCATTGAAACAAAGCATGTCGTGAAGTTGGGATCCATCCGAGTCACCGGATTCGTACTTTTCTATGGACACTGGGCTGCGACCAGGACGCAGACATGCACGCTGGCAATTTGGGCTTGAATCCTGGGTGTTGGGTCCAGGCCCAGGGCTAACCAGCCGACCGAGCCCAGGTGCAGGCTAGGACCCTTTTTTTTTTTTTTTTTTTTTTTCCCTCTTTTTAAGGTCAGGCTGTGCATAGGCCCAGAATGGGTGTTCGGTCCAGGCCCAGGCCTAAGCCCCTGGCCAAGTCCAGGTACAGGCCCGAAGCCTTTTTCTTGCTGTTTTTTTCCCCCCCCTAAATTCAAAGTCAAGGCCTGGACCCGTACATAGGCCCAAACTGAGCGTGAATGCTGGGTGTTTGGTCCAGGCCTAAGCCGCTGTCGGGGTCCAGGCAGACAAACAGACGTGCAGGCAGGCAGGCAGACAGGCAGGCAGAGAGGTGGACAAAGAGACGTTCAAGTTGACCTGGCCCTGGCCCATAGACGCCCCGACAGGCAGACATGCAGCAGACAGGCAGGCGGACAGACACGCAGACACATAGGCAGACAGACATGCAAACACATAGGACGACAGACAGCGAGATAGGCAGGCAGACAGACAGGCATGCAGGCAAATAGACAGAAAACAAGCGGACAAACAAGCGGGGAGACACGGAGGCAGACAAGCGGATAGGCAGGCACACACGGAAGCAGACGCACAGGCAGACACGCATGCAAACACGTAGCCAATTATATCTACTGACTGCTTGGTTGATTTTTTTTTTTTTTTAATCAATCAATCAATCAATCAATCAATTAATCAATTAATCTCCCTTTTGTTTGCTTTTTTTTTTTTTTTTTCCCTTTCAAAGGCTAGGCTGTGCATAGGCCTAGACTGGGTGTTCGTTCCAGGCCCAAGCTTAAGCCGCTGGTCGGGTCCAAGTATAGGCCCGGAGCCTTTTTCTTGCTGTTTTTTTTCCCCCCCCTTATATTCAAAGCCCAGGCCTTGACCCGTACATAGGCCCAAACTGGGCCTGAATGCTGGGTGTTTGGTCTAGGCCTAAGCCGTTGTCGGGGCCCAGGCAGACATGAACTCCTTCCTCCTCAACCTTCTGCATCCATCCACTATAGCCAACCTGAGCATGGATTTGGGCCTGTTCTCAGGTTTAGCTGGGTCTACGCCAGGACGTGGGCCTGTTCTCAAAGCCCAGGCCTGGACCTGTGCATAGGCGCAAACTGGGCCTGTATCCTGGGTGTTGGGTCCAGGCCCAGGGCTAAGCAGCTGACCGAGCCCAAGTGCAGGCTGGGGGCCTTTTTTATGCTTTCTTTTTTTTCCCCTTCCCTTTCAAAGGCCAGGCTATGCATAGGCCCAGACTGGGTGTTCGGTCCAGGCCAAGGCCTAAGCCGCTGGCCGGGTCCAGGTATGCATAGAGATAACCACTCCCAAGGGTGACCAGCTGACCGGCCCCGGGTGCAAGCCAAACCGTGAATGGGCCCAGATTGCGCCTGCACCCTGGGTGTTCGGTCCAGGTCTGGGCCTAAGGTGCTCTCCAGGTTGGGGTGTAGGACGGGGCTAGATGGTTTTTTTTTTTTTTTTTTTTTTTTTTTTTCCTAATGCGAAGTCGAGGTCTCGACGAAGTCGACGCCATTGAGCCTTTTTCTTGCGTGGAGTCACACACCCGCTTCTAATTCGAAGTCGAGGCCTCGACGGGTGTTGGAACTTTTTTTTCTTGCTCTCTCCTTCTCTCTCTCTCTCTCTCTATCTATCTATCTATATCTATCTATCTCTTTCTCTATCTATCTATCTATCTATCTATCTATCTATCTATTTCTCTCTCTCTCTCTCTCTCTCTCTCTGTCTGTCTGTCTCTCTCTCTCTCTCTCTCTCTCTCTCTCTCTCTCTCTCTCTCTCTCTCTCTCTCTCTNCTCTCTCTCTCTCTCTCTCTCTCTCTCTCTCTCTCTCTCTCTCTCTCTCTCTCTCTCTCTCTCTCTCTCTCTCTCTCTCTCTCTCTCTCTGCGGGTCTGTTCGCCGTCGACCGGACTCCGTCGACAGGCACCCGGCCCGAGCACACGACACACTCCGCCGACCCCCAGACTTCGTCCGTGGGATCAGCGAGGGACACGTTGGCACACCACAACAAAATTGGGCGCAGCGCGACCCCAAACTGACCCCTATAAACACCGATTCTCACCATCGTCGAAGCGAGCTCGTGCGGTGTTCCGTTCACAGTTACAAGGGCAAGAGTTCATCGAGCTCAAACATCTCTACCGCACAGACAAGGAAAATGCACAAATTGATGAAAGATCCCCCCTGCAACCCTTCCAAACCCCGATTCGGCCAGTCGACAAGCCGACCCCCAAATCGCGCGCCGATAACGTCGATGCGTGACAACGCGAACCGAACAGCACGCAGAAACACGAGCATGTCTGCGACAAGAATCCGCGCACCGGGACGGTCAAAACCCTCGGGGGGCTTTCTCGCCCACGGCACACCGACAAGGGACACCACCGCTATCACCGTCGGCAACCCCCACAAACCCCTCGAAGGGCATCTCAGAAGGTGAGCATTTTTTCGCACCCACAGTCCTCTCGCAATCAACTCACACTTGAAGCTCCAGGCCTTATGCGAGCACTTTTGCGTACCCGAGGCCTCTGGTAATCAGAACACACTCGACAGTCGAGACCGTCGAAAATTGCGGTTAAATTTACGCAGGACCTCAAAGTCCATCGGGATCGGAACTTGGCGCTTGCTGGACTGGCGAGGAACCGGTTTGCGCGGGGGATGACGGATATTTGGATGACGGGTGTGGAAGTGCACAGAAGGAACGCGATGCGTGGCTGCATGGTCAAGGAGGCCCTGATGCTGCTCACAAGTGTCTATTCCAAGAGAGCACGCACAACAGAAATGGTCGTCGCAGGCGCACCACGTCAGAAATCGGCGCAGCACGGCCCCCAATAGACCCCCATAGACCCTGATTCTCCTCATCGACAAAGCGAGCACTTGCGGCAATCCAGTCGCAAATGTTGTGATCCGTGATGACAATGACTGCAAGCACCAAAAAAAAAAAAGACCACGGCTGGKGGACCCCCAATTAGTACTGCAGACAAGGCGGGCTCGCAGTCGGGCAATGGTAGGTTTCACAGCCAGGATCATGGGACGACGAACGGGTGCCAACCACGAAGTCCTTCCGGATCCGAACTTGAGATCGGTTGCCGCGTTCGACCGGGAGCATGAAACACTTTGCTTTTCTTGGGGTCCCATTGATAGGACTGTTGTTTTTGTGGCACCGCCTCCCAAAGAACAGTCATGTAACCAGGACTCTGAAAAGATCCATGCAAACCATAAGCGTGCGATTTCAACGACGCCGTGGAAACAACACTAATCATCCGAGCAGCTCACGACTTCGCATGCTTGAGATCGCAAGTCCGCCGGGATCCGAACTTCGTCGCACGCTGACAACTGGCAGGGCGTTTTCATACCTGCGTGTGCTCTCCCTGCGCCGGGATCCGAACTTCGTCGCACGCTGACAGTCGCGTGTGAAAGCTTGCCGAAAAGGGAACTTCGGATGCTTGCGAACTACAGCAATCATGCGCTATTTTCATACCTGCGAGTGCTCTCCCTGCGACCGCGCGACGGCAACAGATTGCCGCTTTCGCGAGAGCACTGCGCATGATTGTTGTAGTTCGCCGGGATCCGAACTTCCCATTTGGCCAGGCAACAACACGCCACGCGCCGTTTTTTGTTTGGCTGTTGCTGGTTTCGCGCTTGCAGTCACAATGGCGACCTCCCTTGCCCCGATGACTGAGACATTTCCTGGAGGCGCCCGGGTTGTTCGTTATTGAACGAGTCCATGTTTTCGTGTTGAGGTTGTCGTCACAAAACATGCGGCGCTCACGCCGAAGAAACGCTATTGTCATTGTAGCGAGCGGCGTTGGCGTTCTCCATCGCACACACGCAACGTGTGCATTCTTCGTTCTGGAGCCCGCGGATGTTGCGCGCACAGTCCTGGCATTCGTCGTACGGAATGTGCTGCCGCGTCCCTCACGACCAGCCCCAGGAGCGAGCGCTCAACATCTGTGGCCTCTATGGTGGATCATGTGCACGCTGTGTGCGCGGGATGGAGACGACAGGAGCTCTCCCGGGATTGACTCCATAGTCTCTTCGGGGAGGGAGGCTCAAGTGTTGTGGCGAGAACACGAACACGAAATGATGACCCCCTCCTGTTTATGAATACCATCCCTCTCACTGCATGCCACGTGCACGGCGGACATCCTTCGCACCGTGGCCACCCGCGGGACGCTTAATACCAACACTGGTCGCGCGCAACCCATGTGGCACCCGCTTGTCGCTCACCAACACCGCCGCGACTACTGTCCGTCCTTGCTGGCGCAGTTGTGATAACCAACCTCTAATTCGTTTCATGAGAACAGCAAACGTGTGAGGGAAGTGTTTCGAAGGGGTTTCGTGTTCTGCTGGAATAGGTGATTTCGTGTTTCCCACAACCACGCGGCAGTGTACTGCAATGTTCACTATGGCAACCACGCGGGAGTGTTTTGCAATGTTCAGCTTGGGACACGTGGAACGAATGAGAGAATAGCAGAATGGGACACGTGGAACGAATGACAAAGAAGCAGAATGGGACACGGAAACCGTGTGCCCCGATGTCTTCGTCATCCGTTCCCGCCGTCCCCGCCACTTGCGACACGTGGCACGACATGATGATAATGATGATGATGGTGATGACGACGATGATGGTGATGTTGATGCTGTTGATGATGTTCATCATGATGATGATGTTGGTGATGATTATGGTGGTGATGTTGATCTGGACGATGATGTTGCTAATGATGATGACGATGTTGATGGTGACGATGACAACGATGACGACGATGATGATGATGATGATGATGATGACGAAGATGATGACGACGATGATGATGATGATGATGATGATGATGATGATGATGATGATGATGATGATGATGACGAAGATGATGACGACGATGATGACGATGATGATGATGATGTTGATGATGACGATGATGACGAAGGCGACGATGGTGGTGATTTTGATAACGGCAACGATGCCGCTGATGATGATGATGATGTTGATGACGTTGACGATGTTGATGATGATGTTGATGATGATGATGATGATGATGATGATGATGATGATGATGATGATGATGATGATGACGATGATGATGGTGGTGAGGATGATGGTGATGATGATGATGATGATGGCAAGCAAGAATCATGGGGCCGCTCGCGAGGAAAGAACGAGAGGGAATCAAAGGGGCATACAGATACCATGTGGCCCAATGTCAGCGACATCCGTTTCCACCGTCCCCGCAACTTCAAACAGGTGGCGCGACGTGGCTGCTCCCATGTGCCTGCAAACATGCCCGACGACCGACACGTGGGCAGGCAGAACAACACTTTACCTTGACGAGGGCACAACGCACACGACGGCGCAGCTCTTTGAAAAGTCACAGTTCTTCGACGAGGCACAGTTCTTCGACAACGGTGAAGCGCACACGATGGCGCAACCGTTCGACAAGGGCTCAGCGCAGACGACGGTGGCCACTTGCTGACGCAGGACGCAGAGACGGGATGTCGAAGCGCAGACAACTGGAGTCCATTACCGATCAAAAGGACAGGAAACAGTTGGCGACGAGAGGAAACTCATACAACCTCGCCCGCAGCTGCGTGGCGCAACAGCGGAGCAGAAAAGGCGATGGAGGATGTCGCTGACGGGACGCCGCGCGCGGATGCGCTCGTCAGGCTGGAGATGCGAATGGGCTGCACCAGACCCCAGGCAACTGAGCCTCAGCCTGTCGTCGC